ATATATCTATTTGTGTTTCAATGACACCCAGGAAGCTACTTGTGCACCTGAATCCTGCTGAGCTACACAGTACATAAAAAAGGACTGCACCACGTAGCTACCTTATTCTTATTGCTTTCCTCTTCTAAGGGTTAGAGGAAAAGAACAGCTGAATTAAGAGAATGAAGAGTAAGGATATCAGCCAGCTAGATCTCACAAATATTTTGTAGTGGTCAGGAAGCCAAGTCCCCCAGATCTTTCCCCCTGCATTCAAAATTCCTGCTCCCAGAGCCAAGCTGGCAGAAGGAAATGTGTGCCTACCTTTCAACCACTGTAAAGCAAAGTTCTCTGCTTTAAGCTGCCAGTGAAAATAGCTTTAAGCTAAGACGTGGGAGTGCACAAGTAGTGCAGAGGAACAGACATATGCTCCACGCAAATGAATCTGCTTGCTACGCTGACACACAGAAGTCTGACAGAGCTTGACTGTCAGGTCTCCAGATTTCCCCTCTTGAAAGCATGGAAGAGAGAGGCATAAAGTGTTGGAGAGCAAAGGTAACCTCTATGTTGTCTTGTCCACTTTTAGTTTGTAAGTTTCTTTGCAGATTGAAAGTATAGATAGGAAGAGAGATACAAATGGCGAAACTAGGGTATTCTAAACAATGCTTTAATTTACCTCTCTGATCTGTTTAATCCATGCCTCCCTTCCAAGGAATTCCTGATGGAGGATTGCAGGAGCGGAATTCAAACTGAAGGCCACGGTGTCACTAGAACTTTCTTTAACAAATGGCTGAAGGTCTGAATGTAGCTGAAAGAGAACAACATCTTTTTTCAGTTCCCAAGAACAGTCTATGCATATCCACCCACTCACCAAATCAACGTCCATAACCTGATTCTGTACCTACTCACCAACTTTCTGCTTTGACACTGGTACTTTGGATGCACTTTTTCAAGGTTGGGGGAGGGATAGGAAGAGGTTGAAAGCATTGCAGTGGCAGAAAGTTGTGGTAAAGAGAAGTATGTAGAGAATCTGCAAAGAAATGGGTAGAGGACAGCTTGCAGAGCTGGGCAAGTGATGGGACACAGCCAGGCAAGTGACTGCTTAGCGGCAGGAAGCATCAAAAGTATAACAGAAAGAATGATGCAGTCTTTGGTGGGAAGAATATCAGTTTTTAATCCGTGCAGGGTAATACATTCTGCTTTTCAGTGCTGGAGGAAGCTGGTGCAATATGACCCTCCTTCTGACAAAGGAAATGTTACAGAGCTAGGTGCTTTCTATGAAAATTTTGCAATCCTTTACACACAACTATATGTCAGTGGTGACTGTATCAATATTAAAGCATACACAGAATATTAAGGCTATAGTAGATACTGGTAGAGTTGCATCTAGTAATAACACACAGTGGCATTTCTACGGCAGTAAAGCTGTGCTTTGTAAAACCACTTCCTTCTCCTGAAGGAACTAGCAACTGTCTAAACCAGCTCAGCTGAAGCGGATGGGAGGTCTGTCTGCCTGTCTCAAGCCACAGCAATACTTGCAAGTAGTGCAATACAGTAGGAGCAGATCTTCAGGGCAAAACAAGAGTGCTGAGGATCCGAGTTCCACACTGTGTGTGTTTTCCTTTGGACTAACTCTGGTTGTGGACTGAAAGACTTCTAATGGAGATCAGAGGCCTCCTCTGGGAAACTGTACTGCTGCATAGGCATAGGCTGCTCCTGTCGCTATCTGGTGACCTCCCTCCTTATCCCCCAGCTACCTGCTCTGGAAGTTACCTCCACAGCAGACTACTCAGAAGGGAACGTATGCAGGTCCTTCAGCCACTGCAGCTCCTGCCTCAGCTCGGGCACTGCTGCAGACAGTTGAGCCTCTTGGTACAAATCTCTGCACGGTGGTGGCAGTTGAGACCCAACACACACTCCCTCTTGCAACTCCTGCTACTGGGACAGTTGCTTTAGGAAGACAGTAGGAGCAGAGAAGGTAAAGTTTTAATTTCTACAGAAAGATGTGCTAGAAGGATGTTAACAGAGCCTTGAATGAAATAAGCTACGTTGACAGGAGTGCGATTTTGCCGGTTCATAAGCACTGTTCATATCCGCAGTTTCTGCATACATCTTCACAGCAGGCAGCAGTCAAATCTCTCAACGTTGCTGACCTGCTGGCAAAAGTCTACAGCATAGTGGCAGCACACGACAGAGCTCAAGAGCAACACATCTTACAAGTCTTTCTGTATTTAAGCTCCCAGAAGGAAAGGAAAAGGCGTACCTTATGACTCATCGACATGTGCTTTCCATACTGAAATGCCATGTCCTGAATCTCAGCGCTGTGCTTTGCTAGCTCCATTGCAGCCTGGCAGCTCTTTGCCAGCAAGGCGCTATGGGACAGGAAAACCTGCTCCTTCCACGTAGATATGCCAATATCATCTGTAAGACAGTTCTCCTGAAAACGAAACAAAGGCTAACATGAAAACACCAAAACTGCAGCCGTGTCAGCTCACAGAAGTTAACGGTGTGGCACCGGATAATGTGCCATGTGGCGAGAAAAAGAACTCCTGGTGCCAAGGTGCCAAACAAGGAACTGTGTTCTTTTGGGGATGAATAGAGAAAAGTATCAGAATAAATACACTAGTAGCTTCAACAAACAACATTTTAATTTTCTGCTCAAAAAGAGCAATGCAAAATACATAGAGGTGTCAACAGATTCCACACAGATCCTTTTCTTAATGACTGTATCATTACACTGAACATTAACAGCCGATTATCTTCCTCCTGAGGTACTGGGGAGAAAAAAAACAAAAAGAAAAAAAGACAAAAAAACAACCAACCAAAAAAACCCAGCATACATTGGCACTTCAGCCCCTTGCCAGTTACCAAGAACCAACAATGCCAAACAAACTTGAGAAGTCCTTGCAACTTCTCCTTTGTAGTAAATAAAAAAATAATCACAAAAGGTATTAAAAATCCTCATAGAACTGCACTGGAAAAATGAAGGGCTGTGACAGAGGACTTGTACCTCTTCCACTCCCCTATTAAGGATGAGGAATGACTGAAAATACTAAAAATTAAATAAATAATGCTGTGCTTTAGAAACGTCCGGTATTAACTTTCCCAGGGGACCGATAGCGATCTCAGTGATGCCTCTAGTGAACTTTATCACCTTGACTGTAAGGTCAGAGACACTCAACACTTCTCAAAATCCTTTGTATCTAGAATACTAATTTGGATTACTTTCCACAAAGTGTTTTAATTAACACAAATCCAATCCTTTCCCCCCAAGCCCAAATTCAGCTGCAGCTCCTTGGCTCACAAGGTGTCAATACGCCAGTATTTTACTAATGGGTCTTCAAAGCTAGACATGACTTGTAATCTTTCTCACATACACATTACTGTCATACCTTTAGGTGCTCTCTAAAGAGGAAAGAAGAAAAACCAGAAAAGACCACAGTTGTATTGCTTAGAAAAAAACTACCATCAGTAATGAGAAGCTACAGAAAAAAATTCAAGCATATAAATGTTAAAAACTTGTAATTTCTCAGTTCAGCCACATCTGGAGCGTACACTAAGCCAAAAAGTATTCTTTAAGAGAGTAATATAAAAAACCCTCTTATATAACAAGCCTCTTCCTTCAAAGTAACGTCAATTAAATTACTTAGAAACGAGCAAGAAGTAATTCTGTGTGATCCTATAGTTTTCTAGCAAGATATTATCTGTCATGAAATCGGTAACAAATGAAATAGAATCCATCCGTTCAGCTCTAATTTTCCTCCCTTATGGATATCACCCGAAGTGCTGCGTTACAAGGGAGAGGATAATTTGAGACTAATGGAAAAAGTAGGAGAATTCTGCAACGCCAAGTAACCCAGAGCTGTATCAAAATGCCTTTGCTTTCAGACATACTAGTAACTTACACAAGGGAAGTGAAGAACAGAGAAACCACATGTTTGCTATTATGCATATGACAACTTACAAAGTCAAGCCTCAGCTTTCCTTGTGTTTCATTTTACTGTAGTATTTTTGTTTTAATATCTTAACTCTGCCCAGAGCATGTGCAAATTCCCATGACTGGCAAAATGTCAAAATGAGCATTTAATTCAAGTAGTTTCCTATGTATCAAGTCTTTTTTTTTTTTTTTTCCACTCAGATAGAGATCAATTTATTTTAAATTTAAAATCAGGAGCTCTTGGAAGACGCAACACCATCCTTTCCTTAACAACCAATCTGCTCAGACAAAAAACAGTATTTACCAAAGTTTGCTGGAATATACTGAAAATTGGCAATGATTTTTATAATTATTTGTTTTAAATCTAACCAAGAGAAAAATATTCTAGAAAGGTATCCTGAAACAATTTATGAAGTTAAGAAAACTTTCAGAAGGCCCATAAGTTGAAACCGTTTGGTTGCTGGAGTCTTTGAGCAGAAACAGAAATGCAGACATTATCAAATGTCAACTGCAGGAGCTGAAGAGGCTTAAACAGTCATTGCAACTCGATGTATATAAGGAAATTAATTCCACAATTTGTTACAAAACTATATTCTTTTTAAACAAGTTTGAACTGATGACAGGATTAAAAATTATGGCATTAAAAGTTACTCTCCACTACACAAACATCACGGAGGAGCTTCAAGCATCTAAAACGGACATCTAACTTCAAAGAATCACAAACATTTGAGGCGTATTTAAAGATACGGTCTTGAAGTCTCAGAAAGGTAGGGACTGTAAAAAGGAGTTATACCTATATGGATATGCTTTAGCATATGAGCTTGCAAGCCAAAATATAGATGATGTGAATCACAGAAAGTCTTATGACCACATACCCCTAAAGCTTCTGGTTCTCAAGCAGGCAGACATAGCCTTTCTTCAGCAGTTTTCCAACAACCCAAACGCCATTCTTTCCCCAAGCGTAACTCATGTTTGTATATAACTGCCCACCAACCACATTGCACTCTTACAACAAAGGTATGTAGGGCAAGATCTAAACATTACTTTAAAACGTCAAGGGAAAAATGAAACCAGCTCTACATTGCAAAGTCTGTGAAATCTGACATCCTGACAGTGCTTATTATTTTTAGAGAAAATTTCACTTTTTTTGTAAGCTTTGTTGTTTTGTCAGCAGTGGATATTTCAAAGGATAAATATAAAAGTGGACATTAGCTGGCCAAGATGACTCCTAGCAGCCTTTCCTATAAAAGCCTTTTTAAACTCAAATTAATTATAGCTGCAGTTGACAGTGGTCAGACATTTGATTAATTAATGCTTATGGAGTGACCTCATTCACAAGTTCTGTCCCCCAGAAATAGGTCCAGATCCCAGCTGACCCTGATACTGTTTCAGTAGCAGAAGCTGAATGAAGAGAGACAAATCCCTCACCATCCCTGGAAGAAAGCAGCCAACTCCAGCTACAGTTTGGGGAACGTCGTCATGGGAGTACAAGGGAAATATCGAATCCAACTCTGTCCATCATCATTTCCTCTGGGAAATTAAGAACAGCTGAGGGTGCTCCCATTTTACTAATGGCAACGTCAGTTACTATTTTGTTAGAAAGAAATTGGCTAGTTGAGGTTTTTTTGTTAAGCTACTTCCATAATTTAAATTGGGTTTGAAACAATCATCTCAGGCAACAGGAGAGAAAAAATCTTTTAGAACACGGAACTGCAGGACAAAATATGCAACACAACCATCAGGAAGGGCAGCTCTCAGTGACTGTGGCAAGTGGCACTTATAGTAACTCAGTTTGATTTGTCACACCAAAGAATCTCTCTACCAGCAGCAAAATATCTTGCACATGGTTCACATGAGCCTTCAACAGCTGTATTCCTGCTTGCTGAACGTGACCAGGCGTGTTTGATTGGTCTATCAATACATGTCTTCACTGCTTTTGGAGGAACAACGGCGTCTGCAAATGGGTCAATAAAGCATGCCACTGACTGCCTAATACTTGTATTGAGACACTGTAAAAAAAGCAACACATGATTTAAAAAAAAAAAGTTTGAAAAATTAGAATAAATTTAAATATCTCTCCACATCTGTTACTTTTAAATCTCTCTGGAAAAGCTTAGTATTTAAAAGAACAAAAGCAGTAAACAAATAACATTGGCCTTCTTTCTAGCTATGCTTTCTTTTTTCCCCTCTGACACATTTACCTATTCTTTTCACAGATGCTCTTTACTGAAATTCCGTATTTTATCCTTCCCTTTCGTCTTGCAACAGAAACATTTGTTTAAAAAAAAAAAAAGTGAAAGCTCTGACTGACTGCTGCCCTGCTAAAAGGCGGTTTACATGACTCAAAATACATTTGATTTACCTCCTATTGTAAAATTTCCAAGTCAATCCTTTACTCATGACACAGACTCATAGCAGTCCAGTTGACGGACACGTGCAGCATGCAAAACATTACTCCTCAAAGCAGGACTGTTGATCAAACATCGAAGAAGAATTGGTACAACTCACTGCATGTAGTCTGTATTTTGCTGGAAAAAAACTTCATTTTCATTTAAAAACCCTATATTGTTCTAAAACAAATACCTGTTAATTCACTATTTGGTACAATGAGTACTTGCCACAAATGTATTTCTTTTATAAACTTATTTTACATATCAGTTACACACAATTTTCATACAGTTGTATTGAAAATTTCAAAAATACCTAACAGCTCTTCTAGCCATCAGTGGAACATGTTGGAAGCGGCACTGTCCTGGGTAAGAGTCCCATTCTGACACTAAAAACAAGTTTTGCTAACGCATATTTAGCATCAGCTAGATATTCTGGATGTGAGGAAAAAATCAAGCCAGGGCAGTTTCCCATGAAAAGCCCTAATACTTTAAGATTATATGAATGGTCTGCCAGGTAAAGCACAAGAGCCAACACGCTCAAGTCCTGCTCTGGATTCTGCTGTGTGACCTTCAGCTTCCCCGTATCTTTCATCCCCGTTCAGTGAATTGACAGGGATGGCAAAGCATTCTTCATTAATGAATATTTGTTAAATGGTCTGGGATATTAAGGCAGAAGGTTTCTAGACAGGTGACAGCATTCTGTGAGTTAGCAAACGTTTTAGAAGCCTTCAGTCTCCTAAATGTAGGAAACAAAGATGCAGTGCAATGTTTTTCTGTTAAAAATAGCTACCACGATCATGACTGAAGGCCATATTAGACAACTTTCATCTTTGCACTCACTGAAGGCACAATTTTTTACTCCCAGATTAGACCCAGATTTAGGGAAGACAGCCAAGAACTGGAAAGTGTCCCTCACTCACAGAATTTTGGGTTGCAAAGGGATTTAGCACACCAAGCTGCAAAGGTTTATCACATCACCCCTTTCCACTCCAGCTTAGAGTCCAAAATATTAGCTTAAGCCACTAATGCAATGTCTTAAACCAGGGCAGATATTTGCTACTTTGAACATGAGTGGCAGCCCTAACCTTCAGGCTATCTTTGCAACCAAAGCCTACACTTTGTAGTTTGAATTGTCACTTCAAATAAAGATGAGAAGTTAAATATTACCTTTATTTTCCCCGTTTCACACAGATCTAATGACTTACTATGCAGACAAGATGAAGAATGACCAAACAGAATGTACTAAAATGGCATGGTTGTAGGCTTTCATGTGGTTTTACAGAAAAGAGAAGCAGTAATGAGAGCTGTCAAATAATTATATCCATTATGCATCCTCAGGAGTAAATAAGGTCAGTCTTGTTAGATCAAATGATTCTTTCAATTTTCCTACTGGGTCATCCAAATGAAGGAAACTGAAACTTTTCTCTTTTTTTGGGTAAACATGAACTTAGGGTCTCAGAGGAGAAAGGTGAAATTTGCAGAGTTACTTTTGTCTGAATTAAAAGATAAGAACATCTAGCTAGACATCTAGCAAAGCTCAAAACAACTTGGTGCTAAATTAGTCTATTTTATGGTATTGAGAAGCTTTATAACAACTGCATTAAAGACATTTAACATACGAGGTACAGTTTTCCAGCCTCAAAAAGGAAAGAAATAGAAAAAGTGAAAAGATGTGCTTCTGCTTTTCCAAATTTAAGACATTCCCAGTAATGAAAATGCCATTACTAACAACCCTATACCCTAGTCTTCAAAAGAAATAAAGTTTGACATTTGAGATTTAGTTGTGGAATGGATTAAAGCATTTGTCTTACCTCTAGGAAATGTAGTTCAGATTTTTGTTTCAGTCACATCGCAATTAGGGATGGAGGGAAGATGCACAAAGGATACAAACACGACAGACCAACAACTGACCTAGTCCACTTGGCAATCTGTGCTGAAGAGATGTTCAGGACACGAATGCGACAGTGCGAGGAAAGCAGCAGGGATATGTCTCATACACAGCACAGAAACAAATTTCTCAGAGGAAAAGACAAAAAAAAGAAAAAGTAGAACCCACGCTTGTTTGTTCTGGGTCTCATCAGAAGCCATGCACTACCCATTATAAAGACTAAAGTGCAGACACTGTCATGTAATTTTCAATATCTATTATACCACAGTACTAACTGTGTTTTGAGTTAACAGGGTTCTCCTTAGGAAGGGTATACTGTACTTTCAACTCTCCCTAGACAGAAAAAGTCAGTGAAACAAAAGAAGTCTTTGCTATTTGTAATTGGGCCAGGGCAGGGTAAACCTCATGCAGCTGTGCTTAGTTTATCTCACACTTCCCTTGCAATCTCCGCATGTGGAGTGCTTCAGTGATGCAACAGAAAATAAACAGCAAAAGAAAGACTAAGAAAAAGAAGATTAAGACCTTCTGCAGTGGCAGGAACCCAAAAGAGTCCACAATTCTCATTTATACAGGGGCCATGGCTAAAATAAAATGCAGTTTCATTGCTGAGGTGAACTTGTAGAGCTTTACTTCCACACACAAGAGAGTGGTTGTTTTTTTAAATATGGTATATATGGGATCTACTTCTATTTAGAAGCCTGCTTGAATATGGAAATCAAAATTTTAAGATTCTAACCCTGAGCTAAGTTGTCAGGAGCAACCCCGCAGGCTGCAGCCTGTGTATCCACTGGTTAAACACAGCAGGTGCAGAAGGACCGCCAAGTTCCCAACATTGCAGTGCTGCCACGCTTCCACCCTGGGTCCCCTCCCAAGGGGTGCCAGGGGATGGCTCTGCCCACATTGCCATCTCTGCCAGGCCACGCCACCTGACGAGCCAGTGGTCCCTGGCGTCTCCCGAGCGTGCCATTACCGCTTTCCTGCTGGAGATGCTCGCTTCCTCCAAGGGAAGAGCTCAGCTCAACAGTGTGATCGCTTCTTTCCTAACTGGTTTCAATCAAAATGAGAGGGATAACCATGTTAGCTGACGGCACATCCACGGCTTGACAGTGTCTGCTGGCCCACTGTGGTTTGGCTGGTGCAGAGCCATCAGTGCAGGCATCTCCCGTGGTGGTAACCCACGTGGTCAAGGCTTCCACTAAGGTATGAATTTTGCTACCTATCAAAACACAGCAATAGTAAACCTGAGCTGCAATCTAAATACACAACAAATGTAAATGAATTAATGTATTTCTGCAACCTTCAAGCCATTTCACCTACAAAACATTAAGGTTCAGGTCTCTGAGGTGAACTAGGCACATGAGACAACACCACTATAAGTAAATCTATCTACTTCAGTGGATTTCAAGATAGATACTCACATATATACACACTGCCCATTATTCCCATACAGTGAAAACGTGCCATCACAAAACCTGTAGAGGTCATGGCAACTTCAAGATATCCATTTTTTGCATGTGTTAAGAACTGTCCTAGCAAACTAAAGGAAACTCCTTTGCTCCAACACCCTGCCCAAGCAAGTCTACCTCAGGAAGCATATCTAAAAGTTTCCTTAAATACTTTAGCAAAATCAAAAATACCGAGATCTACTTCAACCAATTTTCATTACAGTTTTTGCCAAACAATAACACAGTACATCTGTAATTGCCCTTGAAGAAATACAAGATCACTTGGTGTGAAATGCTGGCAGCCACTGTCTTTGCCCACCCCGACTCCTGCAAACTGTGCACGGTGACTTTTGGTGGAGCAGAGTACAGTGCTACACTCCTGCCGCTTCAGGACAAAACTCCTGTTTATACTATCAGAAGATGAACACTCAGAAGAACAAAGTTTGGGATGAAATATTTTGTAAACACCTTTGGGCTTGGAAATGAGACATTTAACATGCAAATATTAATGATGTTGACAACTTGTAATAAAAGCCTCTAACAGAACCTTGACTTGAAACCTCTGGAAGTGTTTGGAAAGCCCATAGTAAGACATGCCTAGAGCTCCTGTGAGTGCTTATTTTATTAAGCACTCACAGAAATAAAACAGTCCCTCCTTGAGCATTTCTAGAAACTGCCATCAGAGTTTACATGCGTCATAAAAATGATACTGCTGGAACTCACTAGGACTGCAGCTAATTCTCTTCCTCGCTTCCCTCCTCCCTTTAAACAGATGAGAGAGCCATCAGATTTATTGTAGTCACACATCAATGTCACCCAACTTCTTGGGTATGTACAACGACTGCAATTCTTACCTCAGATGATTTTGAGTTTTCATAATATATACCTTGAACTAAGTCACCAATAGCACTTGAAATGAGTTCCACAACCTGTAAAAGAAAAGGAGAAAAAGCCTTACATCTTCAATTATCACCAAATTTACTAACAAAGATACTGCCAGATTTCCAGAGGGATAAATGATTGTAACTGTCCTTCCAGAAAGCTGGTTGTGAAAGACTGCAGGATTTACTGGGATATATTCTGCACAAGCATGATGCTGTCTCTGCTAAAACCTCTGCCACAGTAACTCTTCTATCAAAGTTTTAAGTTAATATAAATGAAAAACAAGACTTTTTTTTTTTTTTTTCTAAAGTGTGAACTATGGAGTGTATTCTCACAAGGATGTTCACAGAACTAATAAATCCCAGTTCATGAATATGAGACAGTACCTCATCTGGGCTTTGTTTTGTTTTGGTTTTTTCCTGCCAAGTAAATACTTCACAATACCTCTCATTGGGAGCTGTTAAAATTCTAATCTTTGCGGCTAATACAGAAAAGTCAGAATCCATAGAAAGGTAACCTTTCAAATGTGATCATTTGGTATTCGGGTGCCCTGGGAATGCACTGTGGATGTATTTAGTGCATGGCCTGAGGCTCAGCTGTACCACATACACTGAAAGTCTGTAACACGGGAATGTTTAAATCAGATTTATCAATCTGTATTATCTTCAGGGTTCAGACTTTTTATTTTATTCAAGCGAAGCCTAAAAATTTGAACTCAATCCAGAATGTAAAACAAGCAGTCCACGGTCTCCCTGGAACTACTGTACAATTTAAAGTCATGCACATGAAGTGTCTTAATTGGAACAAAATACTCGGATTTATTGTAAAATTAAATGCAGGCATTTCAAGTAAGCACACCTTAAGGCTACCACTTTAGTTGCTCACAAAGTTTTAGTTTCCTGAATGTTAAATTTCCTATGCATATGAGTCTATATCTGATTCCTCTTTCTGCTTCCTAAAATTCAAGGTAGTTCTTATTGAATTAAAAGATTTAGTTTTAATTTTTATCATTCCTGTAACCGAAGACAAGAAGTCAAATGACAAACGCCCTAACAGAAAGATATTTTAAAGTTTAGGCATACTTCATTTGATAATAAAAACACATTTGTATGCTAGTTTTGAGTACTAGCAGAAAGGTTGTGTGTTTTCTTTTTTTCTTAAACATTGGTTCATATACATATTCATATACACAGAGCAAGCGCTAACTTTAGAAATGGTGCTGATTAAAAGTCATGTTTTTTCTTGCAATGCATATGGGTTAATTTGCAAGACCTATAAAAACAGCCGAAAAAAAAAACCCCTCAAAAAGGCTTGCTTTTTTTTCCTTACCCCCCCCCCCCCATCCCCCGCCTCTCCCCCCTCGTTTTTTTTTAAAGGTATCAGATAAGCCCTATTCCCAAATCCAGGAGGATTGAGTATCGCCAATAGGTCTATGAAAGTCGGTAACTAAACGCCCAGGATCAGATTGTATTACAGTTTATACAAGCAACATCCCAAGATTCTTCTGATGGCCAGGACACATAATACAGATCAATCACTCACTAAAAAATGTTATGGTTTGTGAAATGGTCTGAGCTCAGAGACCTACACTGGTAATACGAAGAGGAATTTACAAAGACACCGAGTCCTACTCTAAATGTCAAAGTGATAGTATGAACTTTTAACAATGCATCTGGCTCTGGATAACGAGACCTTTTCCCCTCTCGCCTGAAACTTTAGACTGAGCAGGACCCTGTTTTGGGGTTTCTTTTTTCCATCTCTCCTCTCTCTTTTTAGTGCAAGTCCACTCTCACAGGCAATTTTAACTGACTTAAAACAATCTTGGTGAAACATTTGTGAGCAATTGTACCTCTTCCCCTTAGAGTTTATAAAACATCTTAGGAGAATTACACATCCACTGTTTGGAAGAATCCACACGTTAAAAAGCATTAGGCCTTTAGTGACATATTGAACACTGTAAGTTAGCGAGAATATAGTATTAATGTTACCTCCCTTCTTTCCAAATATCTCCTTTTTTTTAAAAATACTGTTTTTCTAAGGTAAACGCAAGGCCATACAGAACACTACCAGGAATGACATTCCAGTTTCAAGAGCACAGTGGGATGCTTGCATGAGGCTCTGTTACTTTATCAACCCTTAATCTGATCTATGAAAAGCATCTGCTGCATAATATCAGTGGCCTGGGGTAAGCAATGAAAAATGAGGAAATCAGGTAATTTTCCTCTGTATCCCAAACTGACACAGAAGAAGAAAAATTATTACAGATTCAGTAGTATTCATGCAGTCAATGATACACTGACTAGCTCTTGTGTAGCACTTTCCATCAGAAAACTGGAAAGCAATCAACACCCGCTATAAAACTTCTTTCCTCCTGTTTTATATATGGGAAAACAGTCACAGGGAAGTGCTTTTCCCCAAAATCACACAGCACACCTGTGGAAGAGCAAAAAACAGTATCCAAATTGTCTCCATTCTGACTGGTACCTTTCTGTCTGAGCGGTGCCCTGTTCCACTTGCTGACATTTCTGAGAAGCAAGTCTGAAGAACAGGCAAGGTAAATGAAAAATCAAATGCTCCCAACTGCTTTTCTTCTCATTCGAAGGTTGAGCTCCATTTTAAAAAAGCTCAAAGATGGGGAAAGGGAAGAAAGAACCGCCAGAATTAGTGCTTGGAAACAGCAGTGTCTCAAAAGAGACCAAACGCAGCCTATTCATAATCTCTCTTCCCACTATTTTTCCACTTCTGTACGCATTTTTGAGAAGCCTGGTCCCTCTTCCGTACTTGAGATGAGCAGGAGTAACATCATATTGAAAGAAAACAAACTTCCACCCTATTTTTAATTTCCACTCTGCACCAGCATCTTCCAAAGCATTGTGTTTTCTGCCCCCCAGGAGCATCCAAAGGACCAGGAGCAATCCACGGGACGACCAGTTCCTTGCAGGTGACAAGTGAAAGCTCATGGAAATAATTTCATATCCTTCAAACACATGTTCTGCAACAGTTCTGCAAGCGTTTGGGTTTATTTCTCAAGAAGGTACTACTTTAACACCTTTTGTAGAGATGGGATTTCTGCTGCTTTTAAAAGGTCAACACAGAGGCCATCAATTTACAATGAACATAGGGGAGAGATGGGTCGTTCAAGCTAAAATCTCTCCTACTATTTAGGCAGACTATGTTTATAACATGATGTAAGTTCTGGTCACAAGCACGTGATTGCTGATTCCACAGGAAGATGCTCTGACCTCTCCGATTTATGCAAATATGAAATAATGCAGAAGCCTGTGCTACGTTTCAATGCCAGAAGAGCTCTGTAGGTTTGAAAATCAGAAGTCTGGTGAAACTTCATTTGCCCTTTTCTGGTATAGTAACTTCTTTGTGAAAAATGCACAGCTTTAGTCCATCAAGGTTCTTTACATTTACTTTGAGTCCAGTTTCTCAAATTCAGATTTTCTAAATATTAATTGCAGAAATAAAACAAAATAGTGGCAATTTTCCTAGCAGTTCAGAAAATTACTCCGGACGTTCAACCAACAACACATTGAATTTCCTCCCTCCTTTTCCTGAAATCAGACCAAATCTTTCAGATAGTTTACTGAGGACCCATCTATAAGATAATTCAGGGTTCAGAATTCCCAAAGCATTCTGCATATGTGACGACACAGAACAGGGCGACGCATGCATTCACTGTCACGGGTGCAGCAGCCCCATTCTTGCCTGCAGCTGACCGCCCTTGGAAATCCATCTCTGCCTATGAAAGAGCTGCGTATTTTAACAGAAGTGAAACTTTAAAGCTAGGAGGACTGCAGGAAAATCATCAAATATAAGATGTTCTGGTAGAACACTTTCTTCGAAGTTAGGAGATACGATTCAGACTCCTTCAAGTGCAGTAAAAAGAACGAATTCTGGGCCCCACTCATCCTTCACGAGATTTCTAAACACTCTGGATGAAAAGACGACATAGCTTCCATCAGTTTAGCAACTCTAGCACTTCGTTCATTTCACTTGTCTTGGAAGTATTTTGTTTAAAGTTCACTGCAACATAACACTGCATATGTAGTTTTTTTCCTGTTTTTCTTTCTAGTTTAAAAAGGGAATGAGTTTGAGCTCCACTCAGTGTGTGGTGGTTTTATTTTAAATTCAGCAGCTGAAATGGAATTGATTACACAGACCACACTATTTCAGAGTAGTAATATGGTGCCTCTCCAGACTCTACCGGATATTTTCAAGGGGAACATCAGGGAAAGGATGGAGCTTTTGCAGGAAGACAGGAAACAGCATTAGGAAGAACACAGCAATGGATATATCTTTGCTCCTCATCCGTCCTGATTTCTATTTGACAAACTTCCTCAGCTTTGCCAAATTCCTTTCAAGAAGGACCACAAGTAATTCCTTCCTTTCTTAGTGTTGAACCAATATCCTTGCCTCACCCATCTGTATGACAGACCCCACTCCTTGCTGCTGCTGCATAGACTTGAAAACGTAGCAAGACTTCTCCATACAAGTAAAGAAGAAAAACAGACAAGTCAGGAAACATTACATATACAGATAAAAGTTCCTTCAACTTGCATTTGACTTCCGTCACCAAGCAAGTGCTAAGTTTTTGAAATATTTCCACACTTCAAAATTCCACGGAAAGCTCCTAAAATTAAATGTTCTCCTGCATTTGACACAGAAACATTGCCACACCAGGAAGCTAAAGACGAAACTCAGTAAACAGCTGAAATTGGATTTTGATTGTTCAATAAAACCTAAAAAAAAGGGATTAACAACTCTAAGGAGTTCCAAGAACACTGGAATTCAATTTTCTTTCCTGGTAATCTCCTCAAACATCATTAGTCATATGGGTAACTAAGTGTGCCAGCCTACAGATTTTTTTTAATGTAATGTTTATTGAATTCTATTGGATTTACTATTTGAAATCATCTTGAGCTTTCCCATTTTTTGAAGCTGTCCCTCTCTTAGTTGAAACGCACAGAAAGGACTCCTCACAGTGATCTGCTTTCTAGCAAGTTTTAAATGCTCTTGGAAAACACAGTTATGGTTTTCT